CTCCAGCTGTTCGTCTGCCTCACTGATGTCTGACTCTGAAGGCACCTGATAACTGGCATACGGCTCTGGGCCCCTCTTTGCCTCTGACATAGAGCCCTCATCAGAGCCTTTCCCAGACTCCAGGACTGGCCCATGTTCCACCCCAACCTCCTTACTGTCCAAATCTGCTGCCAGCTCTGCTGGCCACTGGCGGGTCACAACACATTGTAACAGTCAAAAGTTTGAAAACCCATTGTTATTCCCTTTGTTCAGCACCCACCATAACTCTCCACAGTTGCTGAACAAACAGTTATAATTTGAGGGCTACTTGAAGTAAATGCTAATCATCCCTAAACCTTTTCCTATGACCACCATTTAAATTTTCAGTAAATCTGCAGGAATGGTCTTCCTTTAGCTGCATTTTTTATATTTTTCATCTTGTTTGGCCATTTCATCTATTTGTCTGCATTTTAATTCCTAAGTTGTAATCTGTTCAATTTCTCTTTTCACATGGAAAATACTCATTATACAACCTGAACATTATCAGGAAGACATCAGTCATAGAACTGACGCGCTCTCTCTTCAGTATCTCTCTTCAGTATCCACACAGCAAACATTCTTTTACAGACATTTTTCCGGCAGGCAAGAAGAAAAAGAGAAAGAGAGAGCATGCATTAAAGCCAGAAGAAGTCTGACTCTGCCAGACCTCCCTCACAGTCCATAGGCCTTGCCAGGAAACACAGGTGACAGCGTGAATGATAAAAAGGCATTGAAAGGGAGAAAGCAAAACTACAGACTGGTTTAGTCTGGGCAATATCTTAATGTAAACCTGCAGGGGCCTCTGTGTACAATATACCACAAAGCAAATCAAGCAGAAGCCCGTGGACAAAATTTACTCTAATCAACCAAAACACAGCTCCTACCCTCTGGTGGTCTTGGTGCTATTCATGGAAGGTACAGAACTTTGAAGATTTTTCTTCACAGCATTCCTTCCAGTCTGCAGCTCAGATGGGAGAAAAATAATCTTTTTCTGAAACAGCTTTCCAGAAAAGGTCACAGTAAAGATCTTGGGAGACTGACTGAGGGTAGGAGGAAGGGAACTGCAGAGGAAGCGGCTTATCAATAGCCAATTTTTTCAACCACCCATTAAGGCTTTTTCTTCTTTCCCAAATCATATTTGATACTTTGCTTCTCTGAATGCAAGCAAGCCAAGAGCATTAAAAGCTTTTTCTGAAAAGCAGATTAACTTTGCTTGGGAAACTGCTCCGTGTAGGGCTATTAAATTTGACATTTATAGGTTCAAAAGTAACAAAATATGACAAAACTAATTATCTAACTTATTACTCTTTAGAATTTATCCACAAGAGTTGTTCCTAATCATCCTCACATCATTTCTTGTGCTCTGAGTAGCTCAAAGTTCTATTTTGCCCTTCTTGTTTCCATGTTCTAGGGATGGGAAAGATCCAAATTCAAATCTCTAGCCTTCAAATTCACCATCTTTGTCTGACTGCTTTGATAAAGGGTTTGGGTTGGTAAAACAGAACAGGAAAGAAGTAGACATTGATTTGAATTTATTGGGGAAAGGGGAAGGCATAAATATAACAGATGAAAACTAAAAATGTAGTTTTCGTGTTTAGATTTCATTTAGGTACCTATAGAAGGGGAAATTAGTACCTCAGGGTTGAACTGGGGATTTCCTGGTATCCTCTGAACTTGGGTCTTTTCTTGCAGATATTTCATTACCAAACTAAGTAGCGTCATCAGGATTTAGTTACAGTTATCAGGAGTAAAAAATGTTAGAATTAAACAACTTTATCTATTGCTATTCCATTTGATAAATTGGCTGGACTATAATTTCAGTTTCTTTAGCCCTGAAGGCTTCTGTTTGAAATAATCCACTTTCTCCAACTGGAAAGATTCTGAATCAATCCAAAGGTGCTTTTTCAAAAAGGCAACAACTTTCTTTGAAAATGTTTCACTGCTCATCCAAGAGGCATCTTCAGTTCAGCTCAGAAGGTCTGTGTGTGTAGAGGTAAATATACCTGTAGAAAGGAGCTATAGGTCACATCGATAGTAATTGGGATAGGGAACTCCATTGTAAACAATGGGATTCTAAAATGTACTTTCATGGGGCCACAGAGTCTTTTTAAGGTAGTTCTGGCACTATCAGTAGCTGTTGTTAGGCAAATCCTACCTTGTAATAGAATCCCATGCTCATATTATCACCATTTGCAACCTTCTACTGGGTTTCCCATTGATTTTGCAATCACAGCAAAAGTGGAAGTTGGAAGCAGATGGTGAAGGTTGCAAATAGCGGTTCTTGGAGAACCATATTCAAGAGAGTAGGTTCTATGACAGATACTGTATAAGGTTCCTTTCCAGATTCCAAACAGATGGCAATCTTAAACTGAGGAAATTTGGAGCAAACTAATCCTGCTGGATTGAAGTGACCAAGAAGATACCAGCGGAGACAGATGATCCTTTGTGTACCTGGGCCCTGTGCCTTTAGGGCTTTGTAGGTAATCACTAGTATCCTGAATCACATGAGGAAGCAAACTCACAACCAGTGCAGCTTGTGCAGTGAGGGTACACCAAGGCATGCCCATTACTGTCCATGCTGCCACATTCTGGACCAGTTGAATCTTCTGGTGATCTTCAATATTAATGATCTGGCATTCTTCAATAAAGAGAAACCAAACTGATCAGACCATTACATGAGAATTAAGAAGAAAGTAGTGTCTTTTCTTTTGATTTATATCTCAGGAACTAGTAACTTTTTTTTCAAACTGCAGAAACCTAACTGCCTGTCTCATATTGATAGCAAAGAATGTAGCCAATTAAATCTTTACCTTACATCTTGTACAGATCTATCTTTCCTGTAGCTATGGTTGGCATGCAGCCAATGGCCAGCCAGTATTAGTTGTTACAACAACTTTACCATGGATTTATTACTAAGGAGAATACAGATAAAATAAATCAGCGATACTATAACATGTTATCTAATCTAATCTAATCTATCAAAATATAAAATAAGTAGCCTCTAAACTAAAAGTCTGGTGAACATAAAAATATGTTATACATTCAAACACATATGTAAGAATTGTTTTGAAAATGGGGAAGAGGGAATAAAAGTAGGGTTTCTTACTACAGCAAACTATTTTACTTGTAGGAAACTTGCTTGCACATTGGTCATCCTTCACCTCCTTACCTGTCTGTAATGTACAGACAAAATTATCATCTTGACTATATCACTTGGCCATAACATTTAAACTCTATCCTTAGCATCTTATCTTTTTCTTTAATTATTATCACCTGTGCCTTCTGCAGTATTTCAAGGGGGCAAAGTATTATGGAACACAGCTGTTTCAGCTCCAGCAACATCTGGAGCAGGTGGGACTGAAAATTATGCCTGGGGTTCAGCTTTAAGTTACTTCTAGTTTGAGGTGAGTACATAGCTCTTCATTGCGGGTAAACCATTATAGCCAGGATCTCCCTCTTCTTCCATAAAAGGATGCCTTTCTTCCTCACAGTAGGTGGTCTCAATTTCATATTAGGAACACCGCAACATACACAGGTTGTATCAAAAATAGCCAACATGAGGATTTATCCCAAGGATTGGATTTACAAATAGACAAAATAATGTGCAAAAAGAAGACCCATACAAAAGGAATAGAAATACTCATATTACTGAACATAGCATTTTAATAGATATAAATGAAGACAAAAGAAGGCACATATTAAGTTTCAGTATGAAGTCAACAAGATTATTAGTTCAGTGTGGGAATCCTCCATTGTCTAATGCTACTGAGTGGAAAGTTACCATCATATACAAAAGGGAGGCAGGGGAGGTAATGGGTTGGATTTAATTTCCAGTGTCCAAACAAGTTGTTTAGGTCTTGTCAATTAGAGTTAATTGTCTAGCATTCATGTTGAATAAACTTGCCCCCGCACTTGATATATTCCAGAGAGCAGACATCCTGCAGATAACTCTCAGTTAAATGGAACTTGTCACTGTCGCCTTCCTCTTTAAACTTATTTCCCACCAAGAGCCAACAAAGTTTGGGTGGCCTTGATGGCTAACAAAAAATTGTGGTCACTTACAAATGTCCAACATCTGAAGGACAAATAGAAATAGTCCATAACACCCCTCCAGCTAAGGAACGGGAAGAAACTGAGTGATTCTTTATGCAACAAGCAGAGAGATAAACTTTTTAATTTACCCCTTCTCTTCTTCAAATTCAAAATGAGTGAGATGCAGTAGATATAGTTGTGTTATCTTTAAGAAGCTATGTGGCAAATCAGAGGTGGGAAAGAGAATGATGCCATGCATTTTTTATAAGCTCTTACCTTTTCAATGCAACTGGCCTGCATAATCTTCCTCCGACTCAATTATTTTTTAAAAACATAATTAAACCTTACAGATGATGCTTCATTTGTATGTTCTGCAACATAAATGGTACCAATAATGATGGTGAGGAGCACCTTTAAGAAAGTTTCATCTCACTCTCTATTCTTTAATTTGCTCATTGTCCATCTGATTTCAGTGCTAGAAAGGCAGTGGAGAGGGCCCTGGAAAAACCCAAGTGTTTTTTTTAAAGGGAATGCTGAGTCTGAGAACAGGATTGGAATAACTATATGCATATGTTCAAAACTGAAACATGGTACCTAAGAGGAAGTAGGAAGATGAAGGGATCGGATCTTCTCAGTATTTTCTGCTTCTCTTTCATTTCTTTTATACATGTGAGAGCCCATAAGTAGAAAATGAGGTAGAACTCCTGCAATGCATATCATTAAAATGCACAGTGCATTCCTTGATATTCCATGAGCATAAAAAGAAGGTTCATGGGATATCAAGGGATTGCATCCATGTGATCACAAATTGAAGAGGGTGTTATTATATTTAAAGCAAGAAAAACACTAGTTGTATATTGTAATCTGCTTTTTAGCAAGACCGAGGATGTTTCCAGTGTGACATTCAAACATTTTTGAAGTGCATTTGGGTTCTAGATCCTTTTCCTTACCTGTTCTCCACAAGGAAGTCTATGACACATTTCTTCAAACAGTACAGATGAGCATCCATCAAACCTGTCCTAATGTGAATTCGTGAATGCCTGGAGAGGAAATAACAGAGAATGAAGTCACTTAGCTCTGCATTCCAGAGTTACTTTAAGAGCTCCACTTTAAAATTTCTTGATGGTAAAATTTTACAAGGGCCATCTGTGTTCCCAAACCTTTGTTATGGAATTAGTGGAGAGGTGAATTGTGATGGCTCCCATGACTTTAATTTGTCATACAAACACACACCTGCTTATCCAGTTTGTCACTGATTCCATTCTGTAAGTACATCAGGCTCTAATCCTTGAAAGCTGATGTTACATTAATTCTATGCCACATTGTTCTGCAGGAGACTTTTGTTTAAGGTTTGGTATCAAAGGGAAAGACTGATATGAACTGCAGCAACAATTTAAATTAGAAATACCAATATTGCCTAATATTATTTCTGCAAACTATTTGCAATGTTTCCTTTATCGGATTTTCTTCTGCTTCCATACAAATACGTTTTTTTCAAATAAATTTTACCAGTTTAATTTGTTTACTTCTTTTTTTTTGGGGGGGGGAAATACAACAGAACATGACATTTACAGAATATTATTATTTTGGTAACAACAAATATTTCTAACCATAAAAGGTACTGGTTCCTATTGATTTTTTCCACTGAGTTATTTTCTAAAGTTGAATGTATGAATTTTAGAGAAAGCTTTAGGAATTGTGATATCATGTGTTTTATATAACCTTTGTCCAGATAGATAAGTGTGCTCAACTTGTAGCTTATTTAGTAACAGGAAATGTAATCTATTTGAAATAGAATTTCAAAAAAAAAATCTCTCTCTATTCTTTTAAATCAGTTTTACCTAATCCAATGTTATCGCATTAGAAAAGCACTAAATTGGGGAAAGCTACTTTCAGTCTCCTAAGAAAACAAATGAAAGGAAAAGAGAAATTCAACCTTTTTTTGATGTAACTGAATTTTTTTTTATGAGGATTCTAAATTTTGGCTCTAAGCATATAATACCTCTAAATAAAGAATGTACAGTAAACCTTGCTTAATTTCCCTAATTGTGACTTCTAAGTGAAGTGGCTGTTAGGTGGAACATCACATGGAGACACTACTTAGCAACGGCAGTTTCAGTAGTCCTTATTGTGATTGTTATGGGAGGACCGTTCCATCATTAGGTAAGAGCAAACCCTTCTCCTGCCTTGCATCCGCCTCTGCTTCAACACTCCCATCCACCTATTCCTCTCCCATTTCTGTCCTTTTGTCTTTCCTACACCATATTTTTCCCTCCGAGATGACAAAGGACAGCTAGGGCCAGTAAGGGGTGGTAGGGATGAGCGATAGCAGTGGAGGGCAGGGCAGTCAGAAAGGACAGATTTGGGAGAGATAAGTGGGTGGATGGGGAGTTGAAATGCCCCTGTGGGTGTAAATGATAGCAGACTGATAAGCAACTAAATTTTGATCTCATGACTGCAGGGATGCAGCAATAACTGTAACTTTGAGGACTGGGCATAACTACCATGTGTTCAGCACCATCATAATATCAATCAGTTGCCGAATGAATGGCTGGTAAGCAAGAAATATCTGTACTCATTTTTCAGAATAGAACAATTCAAAATGGCAATTTCAAAGACTTTGTAGGTATTTAGTTATAGGAGAGCAATTGACCAGGTGATCTTTATATCTCCTTTGAGCATAAATCTTATTTTTTCCATTAATCCTTCCGTAGTTTAGTAATTCTAAGATACAGAAAGAGATATACAAAAATGATAAACTCACAAAAATACTTGTACTGGCATACATAGACTGCTACTAAAAGACCCCAAAGAGGACACATTAGACTATTCTGAGTTAGAGTTGGAAGTGGTCGTAGATTCAAAAAACTATTTTCCACCATGAACCCTACCTCTGGCCACAAAAAAGTTGCCTGTCCTTGCAAAATACCAATAGCAACACACTTTAATAACTATTCCAGATTTGTTTCTACTGTAATTCTGTCATTTATATCCCTGATCGAAGATGAAGGATCCAAAATGCACAAGTATATGGATATATTATCAGAAACAAGCCCACTAAATTTAAGGGGATTTCCATCTTAATAGGCATGATAATTATCTGGAGGTATTGCTGAACATAACAACGCTTAATATTTTGTAAGAGTGTTTTATGTTGAAGAATGTTCCACAAACCAAGTCTCCTCCATTACCTTCAATGATAAGAGAGCTCTATATGTTCCTTCCACAACAGATGCGAAGTTCATGAAACAAGTATGAAATTTTTGGATTTTAACCAGAATATTTATTATCTGCTCTGAGGATTTACAGATCACTGTCTGTATTACACCTATTTGTTAGGCAAGGTACCGTATATCAGCTCCTGCCTTTGAAAAAGCCCTGGAAAATTCAACTCTTTCTCTATCCTTCTTAATTGGAAAAGACATGTTACAGATTCTGAAATTCTCATTTGTTGCTATGCAAATCCAGGGCAACTGCAAGTCACATTCAACAACAAAAGTCCCATATGCATTCCATGAACAGCACAAAGCAGGAAACACCTCCTTCATCTGGGCTTGTACACCACAAAAAATAACAGGGTTTTTGTTTATATCTGAGTTTTAAGACAGCAGTTCCAGAAACTGCAAGTTCTTACATGTTAATATTGATTTAATTATCCTGCATAGCACATTTTGTTTGTGTTAAAAAGACCTCCAACACATTTATTAAAATGGGAGTCATAAATGTTAACTGCTTGCTCAACTACTTAAAGATGACCAAGGGAAGATATTTCAAATCATTTGAAAACTTGTTACAAGTAAATGCAACATGTATTGAGTGAGTTCAGTCTGCATTTAATTAAAAAAATTATCCAGACAGTCAATCAGATCATACAAATATTGCAACCATGCCAACAATCAAATATAAATTAAAGTTATAAAAGAATTCTAGAAATACAAACCCTGCAGCACTCCAACTCTATTCCTGGCAATGAGGACAAATTTCCATGTTAAAACAAATGTAGCCACCAACAGGATTTTAAAATAATGCCCCATTTAAGCAAAAGTGGCTCCTCCCATTTGGAGGCTAAATTAAGATTAAACTTGCAACTTAACAAATACATGCTAATTGAACAATATTGAAATATTCATAATTATTCTTTAAATGTTTATTTGCCTAGCCCTAAGTGTTACCCAGAGCAGTTATGGTTACATTATCATAAAGCATAAAATATAAGGCAAAAAGATACCTAAACGTAATAGATTAATAGAAAATTCTTTCAGAAAATGTCATGTTCACGTGGCTACTGATCTAATAAAGTATGAATGAGATATATACTGATACAGGCAATCTGTTCATTCATCGTAGTCCTCATTTTCTATAAGGACTAAGGGCTGATCTGCATGACTAGGCTACCATGTTAGGTGCTTCTTGAGAGCAGGAACATACAATGACAACCATTACTCAACCTTGCCCTCTGGCTTGCATCTAAAGTAGTGTTTTAGGATTCCTACCATTATAAGCAGGGTGTCCAGTTTGCATTCTGTGTATCTTTATTACAATTAATTACTGTTTGCTGTGGTAGGAATGCCCCCTCCCATTCAGTTACTAGTTGAGCTAACTTCTAGGCTAAGGAACAGAAAAAATAAATGAAAAAAAAGATGTTTTTCTCCCCCAGTCCATGGATTGGTGCACAGTTTGAGGCAGAGCCAATACAGAAAAGTCCATACAAAAGAAAAGGTCTGTCAATGGAATCCATATGTTCTCTTCTCAAAGACTTACTCATGGAAAGCAAAGCCATTGTTGCTTCATTTCCTGGTATGGGCCATAGGAATTAACAAAAAAACAAAACAAAAAACAAAAACAAAAACAGAGGAGGCCACTAATTGGAGGCCGAAGTAGCTGAAATCTGGGACAGGTTTCTTAAACCAATTTTATTTCTGGGAATCAAGCAGTTTAAAAATGCAGTATGTGAAAAAGCCCTAAGCAAATAAGAAAACAAGACTGGCAAAGTCCTAACTGGAAGTTTACAATGGATTCTGCCCAATTTCATACAGTATTCGTTACTGGCTAGTTTAGGTATAATAAACCACTCTCTCAAGTTTAACACTATGGATTGAGTTTCAACGGGCTTCTCCTGATGAAGTGGACAAGGCCACGGGAGCGGTGAGTGCCTCCACTTGTATACT